TATTTTTATAATTATTATAAGGGTTGTGGTTTTAAAGGGATTTAATATGCCGGTAACCATATAAGTGCCTTTGGTAACCCAACTTATGAGTAACACATGGAAAGCTTTTTTAAGCGGACACCTGTGGGATCAGTAAGTCTGTCTGATGCAATGAACTAACCTTTTAAATGAAAAGACATACATTGTATAAAAACTGTAAAACGAGAACCGACAATAGTTAAGAGAGATTGATCATTTAACGGATTTTTCACTGTACCCCATAACAATGCAAAAAGAGGCAATGAAATATAATGTAAGCAAAGAAAGTATTTAACAAGCCAGTGGGTAGGTCCTATAAACAGAGATCTCTCTTAAGCATGTATTGATTTTAGTCTACAGTTATCATTTTTTGTAAAATGTATATGCTTTTCAAACCAAATAGAATTACTGATCCTGTTAAAGAGCTTCAGATTTGTAAAAAAAAATATTTTTCAATACTAAACTACTAAGCAGTACTAAACTTAAGCAAGTAGTACTTGAGAAAGAAGTTCTGTAGTAGTAAAAAATATAAATAAGAGAGTACAGTACAGATTATATGAATTATACAAAATGATCTGCTTATTTCAACTAAAATCTTTTATATATAAAAAAGCGAATAGTAATGTTTACTTATTAATTAATTATTAAGAATAAAAGGACAAATAAGTAATAAAGCGATTTACTATGGAATAACAATTTACAAATAAATCAAAAAAGGAATAACTGAACTGAATGCGATAATCTGATGCTAATGGTAAATGGTAGTTGTTAACAATTATTTTTTTTTTATAAACGCCAAATTTTAAATTATAATAATAATTACTATTAATACAATTAATTATATTTAATACAGTTATTAATACAATTATTAATACATAGATGATTAAATAATTAATACCAATGAAGCACTGCCCTTACAAAATCACTAATCATGATCTGTGTGGCTGTACAAAAACTGGCTGTACAGGACTGATCAAGTCTATATTCTGGAGCCGATCTGTACAGACGATCAAGTACTTATTATATAGGACACATAATCCTATCAGGAACCCAGGAAGACCTTCGTTCGCTTGAATATAATTATGATTATAATACAAACTCTCTTACAAATATTTTTTAAAAATATATTAAAAAATTTTAATACAAATTACAGGACTGATCAAGTCTACATTCTAGAGCCGATCTGTACAGACGATCAAGTACTGATTATATAGGACATATAATCCTATCAGGAACCCAGGAAGACCTTCGTTCGCTTAGATATAATTATGATTATAACACAAACTCACTCTTACAAATATTATTTAAAAATATATTAAAAAATTTTAATACAAATTATTAAATGCGATATTTTTTAAAATTTTTATGTGTTAAATAAAATCTAAGCCCGGTGAAAATTAAAAATCTTATTATAAATGATATACAAATAATTATAAAAATTTATTATGAGATTATTGATCATTTCAAATATATTTTGTAACAATTTTTAATTTATATCCTATCATTTTATTTAAATTTTTTTTATATTTTTTTTTAATTTTAAAAAGCATATTGTAGGACTGTTGGATCTGGAGATAACGCACAATGATAGCTATTTTAAAATCAAAGAAAAACACAAGAAGACATTTTTTTCTTCTCTTATATATTTTATATTGCTTTATGTATGTACAGACCACACAGTATTTCTAACAGATTTTATAAATTTCACTTACTCTTCATTAATATTTAATGAAGGTTGTTTTTCGATTTTGTATACCTACCATCACTTTAACATTCCTAGGACAAAAGATTCACCATAGTCGCATAGTCCCGTTCTTATAGCAACCGAGTCCCGTTCTCCAATTCTTTTTCTAACCATTTTAGCATAATAAGAGTTTAGTATTAAACTATTAGCTATACGCAATTTACCAGACCTTTACCTTCATTGGCAATATGTCTATCATATATATCTTAATTGTTTATACGTGAACTAATCTTGATTTTACAAATAAATAAAATATTTTATCTTCATCTATTTATTTTTCAGGCTTTCTCTACTTTCTTGGAGTGAATTTAAACTTATTTTTGAATCCAGCTTAAACTCGCTATTAATTTTATTGATTTAATTTCTATACATACTTTTAGTAGTGCCGTGCTCAACATTTTTATAATTACATCTTTTAAAACTAGAACTACTTTCAGATATTTAACTTTTTGACCATTTTCAAAAACTATATACACTATATATTTTGAACTGGCTGTTCTACTATTAAGACTGCTATTGGTATTTTTATAGTAAGGAACTCCAATTAGGGAAAACTTTATACAGTTATAATTAATTTTATTTGCTAGATACATATAGAAGTACATTTACTTTGTGCCCGAATTAGTCTCGTTTCATTAAATATATGAAAATTTTATTATTTATTCCATTTCCATAGTAAATTATGCGTTTGTATTTAACCGTCCAATTGTGCTTTACTCATTAACTCCACTGATGCAATATTGGGTATTTTTTGATTTGCGAGTTGGTATTCTAACATAACTACACTATTAAGACCTAAGGTTAAAAGCTCCTTTGGCACGTACATAGTGATTTGTGGACCAGCTTGCGGCCAGTAGCGTCCCAAATTAAATCCATTAACATAAAGAACGCCTTTACCCCAACCTGTTGTATTTAGATACGTATCACCTAGTTTACCCACCAAGAATTCTCCATAATAAACAACAGGTCCATTTGACATCACATGGGATTTGATATTTAAAACATCATCAGTCATGTCTATGCTCTTGTGCTTATTTATTATATCAAGAATTTGATCACCATCTAAAGGCATTGCTGTTGAAACCCAATTAACAAGTTTTTGTTTCTCGCCACTTAAACGTTGTACGGTTATATCACCCATTATGCCTTTAGTATCGTTGGCAACATTAAAATTAATGCGACCTTGATTTTCCACTAAGAGCTGTAATTTATTACCCCAACCTTTGCTCAATGGTAATGAAAATATTTGATTTTCTCTAGATAAAGTGCCTACAAATTGTTCGTCGACATAAACGAATGCTCGATCACGTAAATCATTAACCGTCAGTAAAGTGGGATCAATTTCCAACCTTGGTAGTTCAGTTTCATATAGAACAAGACCTGAATACAGATCAAGTTCCTCAAATGTTTGAGGTTTTTCAGCAGTTATTGCTTTACCTCTAGTTAGAGTTGAACGTCCCATGCCAGATAGCACAGTTGCTATCGGCTTCAATATAACAGAGCCATAAGCAATGCGTGAAGCCATTGTTACATTAATATCAGGTACTTCCATATATTCTTTTATGACATTACGTACTAATTCATATTTCTCTGTGATACCACCAGCTTCATCCATAACAGCATCATAATCATATGAAGTTATGTCAGGTGTATACTTTCCATAGCCCCAATCATTTGCACCAGCTGTAAAACCAAAATTTGTACCACCAAAGAACATATAGAAATTGACACTTGCATTGTATGAAAGAATTTTGCTAAAAACAAATAAAAAATTGGTTTTAAATATTTATACAAATGAGTGTTCACAGTCTAATATTAATAATAATATATTCAAATTTGTTATATATATAAAAAA